ATTTTTAGGCTGGGTTCCAGATATACATGCTAAAAGAATAAGAATTTTTTTCCTATAAAACAGCCCCCCAAATATCCAAAAATAAGCTAAACCCATGAAAGTCTTGTTAAGGACTTCACGTGATGAATGACACTTTCAACAAACGCTGTGATATTAAGTTGTTGGAATACAGTTCTATATAACTCTTTTCTGATGTATTTAGCAGGTTACCACTTCATACACATCTGTATTAAAACATTTGTAACTAGTTTTGTGACTTCGTTTCTTAAAAACACGTTATGGATAATTTCTTAAAACACCACATGTAACAATACAAAGTTTATGCATGATCCTGCTTATATTTTCTAGTATTTTAGGATTGCTTCCCTCTTTTTTTTTTTTTTTTCGAGCAGAGCACTTAAAGAAATAACATGGTCTCAAGAGTCATTTAAAAAAAAGTCCTTTCAAGGCAGTAATCATGAACATCACCAGTATGGCGATGAGAGCAGCTCCGTATTTCCGAGGATGTCAGGCTGCAACGTGGGAGCCCCCACGTGTGCCCGGGGGGAAGGAGAGTTGGTTAACAGCTGAGCAGCAGAACTGAGCAGAACCCTCTTGAAAAGAAACCCTTTGTTACCTGAAGTCCAGACTAGTCTGCAAAACTGGTCTTTGGACGTCAGGCTCTCTTTGACCTTATGCTCTTCAGAATTTAATACTGCAAATTCAATCTAGTTGTACATAGAAAAATAGTGAGCAACTGTCAAATTACCCAGCATAAATCTGACTGTGGTGGCTCAGTTTGGATGATGTAAACCAGACTTCGAGACTTTCAAATACTACAGCTCTGTTTAAAAGCAAGAAAAAAAAAAAAAAACAAACCTCAACTAAACGAAATATTCTAAGTATGTTTCCTTTTAAATCCAGAATTTGTAGTCAATTGGAAAAATTTCCCTAACACTGAAACCTTCTTTCTGCAACCCAACACATGAATTAGCAAATAGGTTTCGGAAAAGCAAGGAGACTTGCAGCTTTTTTTGTGCCTTTGTTGCAAACCCCAATCCTTAAGGAAAAAAAGTAAGATTTACTCAACACCAATAGTAAATCTGCGAATTAGCAAATAGGTTTTGGAAAAGCAAGGAGACTTGCAGTTTTTTATTGTGCCTTTGTTGCGAACCCCAATCCTTAAGGAAAAAGTAAGGTTTACTCAACACCAATAGTAAATCTGATTTAAACAGTGAGGGGAGCTCTAACCATTGCTTGCTCAAATGGCCTGGACCAAGGTCACGTTTCAGTCTTGACCTTGTATGGAACATTAATGGGTGGGAGGTTCTTTGTAGGATGTATTAACACATATATACACACACACACCACATATGGATGTATTTTCTATGTATTTATCTCAGACTCAGAACTCATCCTGACAAATTACTTCTATTGAAACCATCTTTAAAGAGAATAGACATTAATTAAAGCCAGCTCTAAACAAGTTGAAGCATGTATTAATCATGACTGTTTATAATGGTATTAGGGAGGAGTCAGTGAGGGGCAAGACCAACTGTAATTGGGAAAAAAACCACATTCTGCTGACACAACTGATAAACTGGTAAATCTCCCTAGGCCAGTCTGAATCTCTTGTTAGATAAACTTAGACAAGGAAAGTATATCCTAACAGTTAATGCACATTTATACTCTCAAAGAGCAGACTTCTCACAAGCAATGCACATTTATACAGCAAGTGACTTCTCAGTCTCTCTCAAAGAGCAGACTTCTCACAAGCTGGATGTTGCAGACAGCTGGCAATAGTTTTTACCAGCAAGGCTGATGGAGAGTTGAGGCAGAGCACCAGGCAGAACGGCAAATTTTTTTAACCTTACAATGCTGCTAAGTCAAATACCTAAAACTTTTGAATGCCTTAGTGAAAAACATGTTGCAGGGCTCAGCAAATGGACAGTGAAACACAGTGGGCTGCTATGTCAAGAACATCAGCCTAGAAGTTTTAAAGATCGATATTACAGTTTTACGATCTGGGAACAACTTCTAGATCCAGTTCCACATTCTTGAAACTTTGGAAAGCGACTAAAGGTTCTGTTGTAACCCAAGCACAACTCCGTGGTGTATGCTGAAGGGGTTGTATGGGATTTTTCTGTTGTCGTTGCTTAGATTTGGGGGTGTGTGTGTGTGTTACCTCTTCCTTGAGGCTTTTTGAACATACAGTTTTTTTTAGTGGTATGGTTTAATGAAGAACCAACATTTTTTGTTATCTGAGGCTTGCTGTATTAATTCCTAAATCAAAATGCTTGTGCAGCTGCTGGGATACAGACAGAATGAATGTTTTATCCTTCAGATACCGAGGAAAGCTGAGAGACACCCACAGATATGATCAGGATTGGATATCCCAAAGAGTCTCCTTGTATCTGTTATTTCAAAACAGAAATAGAAAGCAGTAGTATTTTTGTAACGCTGCAAGTTTTAAACTGAGACCATAGCAGACTGACAAACATAGAAGTCCTTGACATGAGGAGTGCTGTTAACGGTAGAAACCATTTCATAGCGCCGGATGAGGTTTCCGAGTCGAGCAGGAGGTTCTGCTCCCATTTATTTCAGTAGGATTAACCTGACTGAATCCCAGTTAACTCTGAAAACCACTTTACCTGCTGGCACAGTAAGCAGAAAGAGGAAACTGCACCTCAATGAAAGTACATTATCCTGACTACCGCAGTACATTTACACATTACTCCCTTTAAAGATTAACAAATATTTGTCATGGCTGCTGGAACTGACAAAAAACCCTCATAGTATTCCTGCTATTTTAAAGCAGTTATTCTCTCCGTCTCTTCTTTTTGGAAGACAGTAGAAAAAAAGGAGGGTTTAAAATGCCATTCTCACAGGCTGTTCTACGTGCTCTAAGTTCACTGTCTGCCAATCTAGATTTCTTCAGCCAGCTTCCCTGGTTTGAAGCTTGGGGGGGTAATTGTGAGCCAACAGGTTGACTTTCAACATAAAGAAAACAAAAGTGAAGGACACAGATTGGGTCAGAAGCAACTTATACGCTGCCAGAAGTTGCTCATGTATCAGAGTAGCTACTGCTCTGCCTCTTGGAAACCGCTCACTAACCCTAAAAGCCGGCAGCATCAATGACATCTTTTTCCATACCTGACGATGGAATGATCCTTGGTAAATGAAGATGTAACACAAAGTTTTAGCAAGTGTCATAGCTTGAAGGTGGCACCTTTTGTTCACCTTCACCTCACAATTAACATGCTGAGTTAAAGCATTTTTCCTGGTATCACAGTGCTGCTTTCACCGCCCTCACCCGCGCTGCGTATGGCTGCAGGGCCCATACGTGCCTTCACACAGGAGCGTGAAGGGGCAGAAAATCCTTCCTTCCGACTTGCAGCCTTGTGGTCTTTCTGGCCAAGGTTGAATTTTTTTCTCCACTTTTATTTATTTTGGCTTTTTTTTTTTTTTTTTAAAAGATAAAGGAAGGGACACTGGTTCTTGACCACTAGAGGTAATTCTAGGGAGCTGCCCAAGTGAAGGAGAACTCTTGCCATAATTTTTATCATCTTTTAATCTATTATGGGAGAGAAGGGGATCTTTTCAGATGGGAAACCCTGAAGATTCAGGCACCAAGAAGCCACAATTATGTTTAAACATTCCTTTCTATTTTCCCCATTTTTTTTAATAATAAGCACACATCAAATTGGGTTTTTTATACATGTTGTAAAAAATCATACCAACAGCTGGGGGTGAGGGTAACATATTAGCTAATAACACTGCTCCTTCCTTAGCCAGATGGAGGTCACTGACTCAACTCAGCATGATAGGAGCTACCATCCTCACTTGTTTACTTACCTAATAGGTGCTTGAGGAGGTAGAGGTTCATTTTACCACCTCTTGGCATCAAAAGGGTGGTTTACAAGTTGCTGCTGGCACGCCTGCAGGCTGAGCTCTTACTTTTACCAAAAAAGCAGTCTTAAAAAAAAAAACAAAACCGCTCGGTGGGACTGGTTGTGGCTTTTCAGAGCAGAATGGAAAGTGGGTGCTCCACCCACCTTCTCGGTGACACGAGACAAAAATCACATCGTTTCAGTCCTACCTATTTCCATGGCTCGAAGTCAGGCTATGAAAAAGTTTCGGTACTGATAACTTGCTCTGTTTAGGAGCAGATTGGATTAGGGATTTTTACTTTGTTCTATGGGTTAGGTATCTTGTGGTTATCTTTTCTTTGACACAACCTGTTTTCAGGGATTTTTCCTTCTCTCAGCAGTTAAAGTTATTGCTGCTTTTCTTTACATACCTTGCCTGTGACAGTAAAGCAATCCTCTTGTACAGGATGTTAACCAACCCCACAGTTTCTAACGTTCAGAGAAAAACATATTTCACCTGGTTTTAATAAATTAATCCACAAAACAGGTCCAGCAAGCTGAAGTGAAGTACATTAGAGGTGATTAGATAGCTGGCAAAGCAAGGATATTAAACTCACCCATAAAAAGTGAGGCGCAGGAACCCAATCCTGTGGCCAAGTTTAACCAGCTCTCCCTGCCTAGTAGCAGCTCCCGTAAGGAGCACGATTCCTACTTTCTTTAGGGTGCACAGCCACTTGTATGCACTTTCATCATTGTACATGATTTCTTCAAAAGGTATTTTAGGAAGTTGCAGGTCTGAGCCCCAGTACTGGAGTTCTGGAAGGGAAGAAATAGAGAAACAAGCATTTAGCTGTTTTAGCATATCAAAGCTCAGGACATAGAGTACGAAGTTAATGGGATTCCTGTGCATTTGTGAATATTCCCTCAATCCTGCAGTCAACCACCTGAAACTGGGTCCCTGAGTTCACAGGGATAACAAACAATCTTTATGATGAAATTCAGCAAAACATTGCAGTAAAGAAATTGTAACTCAGAAGTTGAATGAAAGACTATTTGAAAGGGATAATTTTTGTTAACAGTACATCAGAAATGTGCATATGTGTTTTTCTGCCTGTACTGGGGAACCACAAGAGTGAAAATCTGAAACTAAGACTGCTTTGAAAGTCTCTTGTCTAGGTTAAAATACCCCTGAGATCTCCCCCAGAGGTATCCTTGTATGGATATGTAATAATGAAAAGGAAGAAGGATCAGGAGAAGACACACACCCATATGGCAGCTTAGAGGCAGAGTAACTACATCAGTTTCTTAAGTGACCAAGCAATTTTCTTTAGTGGATTTGTCTTCATGAAATCAATATCCAGTTATGTTAAATTCTCTAGGATGGTGTCATTCCTTGTTTTTTTCCTCTGCAGATTTTTTGGCGAGCCTTTATCTTACTTCAGGAAGATGCAAAGGAGATCCCAAGATGTTAACAAATCCAAGCACTGCCAGAAGGTAAAGACTGAGTGATGAGCAAGATACAGACTCACAAAGATGAAGAATTTAGAACATGTCTCTCACTGTCTGCGTTTTCAGGACTTTGGATGGCTCATGGCAAATGGTAAGGGAATGTGCCCATGGTCACCCCAGGGTGAGCCAAGCCCCAGGACTCCCCTTAAGAGCTCAGAAATGCAGCCAGGACAGAAGTACAGGCAACCTGTTCCCTCAGCCCAGGCCTCGCCAGCTCCTGCGACACCTGCCGAGGTGTTTGGGCTCTGACCCACGAGAAGACAACAGCTGCTCGGGGCTCCACAACAGCAGATGGCAGCTAATGGAGGAAAGCCAATTAGCCATGGCTGAGGCCAGACCTAAGTGAAGCAAGTCTTGGGAACCGGCGGGGGGAAAGCCTAGCCAGCTGCTCATGGCTAAGGGCATACGTGTCTAGGGTAGGTCTGGGCAACCTTCCCAGGAGGGTTTTTTTTTCCCAACATTTTCCCTCAGGTAAACACAGAGTCCTTCAAGAGGGCTCCAACAGGGAACACTGACCCCTGTGGCTGAAAGCAAGGTAGCCAAAGCAGTGTCCTGTGGCAGAGGAACCGCAGAAACAAGTTAAGCAAGACACCCGCCTTGCCTCCAACGCAGACGCCGGCACGCTAAGACAACGTAGCCAGGGACCGTGTGTAAGCAGTGCGCGGCACGATGTAAGTTCTAATAGCAAAGTCAGCAACTGGCTTTTTATGAAACGGCTAAGAAAAAACATACACTGAGGAAGTAAACACAGAGCAAGAAGATGACAACTGTACGTGTGAAATACAAGAAATTAGTAGAAGTAAAGTGCGAGAGAGCGGCAAATCACACGTACGACAGGTAGAGAAGATAACTGGGGAAGCCAAAGTAACCCCACAGGGTAAAGGGAACATGCTGGGAAGAAAACCTACAAAAGAAGTCCTTGGTTGCAAAAATAAAACCACTCAGTCAAGAGGAAGCAGGCTGTCCCCCGTTCTTTCAAAGGAAGAAGGATAAAACACCAATAAATAATGAGGAAAAAACCCAAGAAGGTGTCTTACTCCAGGTCTGGCTGTCTTCACCAGAAAGTACTCTTCCTCCCTCACCTCAGAAGCTGTAGAAACCACAGCACAACTGCAGACCCCAGCTCTGCTCTTTTATACTCATGGCTAATTTGGGACGAAATTGTTAAGGACTAACAGGTTTTGGGTGTGGTGGTGGTGATTAGGGGTTATCTTCATTGATGTGTACCATTAATAAATGTCAGTCCAGCAGAGCCTTGTTGTGAAGTTTTAAACCGTGTTGCTGTCTTTTTAAACGTACCCCCTAATCTGCCCCTGCTCCACGTGAAGGGACGGACACGCGTACATGGAGACTCGCTGGTACCAGACAGGAAACGCCGAGCGTGAGACCTTTTTCTGCCCCAAATGCAGCAGCAGGCTGCTGTGCCGTGTGGGATGCAGGGAGAGCAGAGCACCTGCGCAGCCCAGCCCAGAGGCGCCGGGGCAAGCAGGACATGGGCAGAACCCAGTGCGACGGGGCACGGTGGTGGCCGCTCTGAGGTCACCCAGCGAGCTCCGCACCAGAATTACCAGTGGAGACAGGAACCCAAAACCTCCAGGGCTGAGTGTGGGAACTGCGCTCGGCCCCTCGGAGACACGTCAACCAACCTAGTGAAGACACCAGAGTCCAGACTAATAAATAGGTAATTGATATGATGATCCATCACAGAAAACAGCGTCAGTACAGGTGAAACAGCTCTGTTTCCAATTAGGCCGTGGGGTTACTTGAGGTCAAACGCCCTCAGGAGACCATGTTGGGGTTACTTGAGGTCAAC